GACTATGAAGCCCCTGGTGGACCCCCCCTGGGGCTCCCAAATGATGCCCCTGGCAGCGTTTTGTGACCATGAGGCTCTCAAGAGAGACATGTTGGGGAGGCCAAACGGCAATTTTAGCTGAGGCGTCCCACCAAAATCGGCGCGAACGGGCTCGTGAGATCAGCCAGGGTGGCTCCCCCTTGGGGCTCCCAAATGATGCCCCTGGCAGCGTTTTGCGACCATGAGGCTCTCAAGAGAGACATGTTGGGGAGGCCAAACGGCAATTTTAGCTGAGACGTCCCACCAAAATCGGCGCGAACGGGCTCGTGAGATCAGCCAGGGTGGCTCCCCCTTGGGGCTCCCAAATGATGCCCCTGGCAGCGTTTTGTGACCATGAGGCTCTCAAGAGAGACATGTTGGGGAGGCCAAACGGCAATTCTAGCTGAGACGTCCCACCAAAATCGGCGCGAACGGGCTCGTGAGATCAGCCAGGGTGGCTCCCCCTTGGGGCTCCCAAATGATGCCCCTGGCAGCGTTTTGTGACCATGAGGCTCTCAAGAGAGACATGTTGGGGAGGCCAAACGGCAATTTTAGCTGAGACGTCCCACCAAAATCGGCGCGAACGGGCTCGTGAGATCAGCCAGGGTGGCTCCCCCTTGGGGCTCCCAAATGATGCCCCTGGCAGCGTTTTGTGACCATGAGGCATGGTTATCTTATCTATTATCCTACCTTGTCATATATCTTATCTTACCTTATCATATCTTGGGCTATCTTATCTTATCTTGTAGTATCTTATCTTGTCTTGTCTTATCTGGCGATTATCATTGGGAGGAGGGAGGCGCGAGCGGGAGGAAGGAGGAAGGAGGAGCAGTGGGAGGCGTCAGAGTAATAACAAGAACCCCAATCCTTAGGATATGGGGAAAAAGAGGGCTTCTGGAAGCATTTCTCAGCATGATGTTCCCGGAGAGCTCTCTGAGAGCTATAGGGCTTAAGATTAGAAGCCCGACGGTGGTGGTGCCCGCCAGCAGCCCACCTCCGCCGCCCCACAATCCTCGCAGCAACTCGCCCGAGCCGGCAGCGGGTTCGGGGGCGCTTCCGACACGTGTGCACGTGTGCCTGCACGCGTGCAGGGACGCGTGGAAGCGTTCCCAGCAGCGCTTCGGAAGCGCTGCAGAAGGGCCCCGCAGAGCTTTCTAGGGATGATTTCCCATCCCCGAGGGTCTCTTTGCTCTTCGGGTTTTTGACGCTACCAAGTTTTCCGTGGCGACATAAAGTTGGTTTCGCCCAGTGCTTTAAGAATAAAAATGCATCTAGAGAGCTTATATTAATACGGGGGGGCCCTCATAGTTTCCTATAGGTGCGAAAAATCTGCTTTCTCAAAATGAATGGTCAAATATCTTTCAAATATTCTTCAAAACTGGGCGCCGGCGGTAAACCGTCGACCTTGGTTACCGCCGGGAGACTCGTAGAGCTTCCTAGCTCGACTTAAGTTGAGAAGACCGACAGTACCTACCTACATTCCGACTCATAGTGAATATTTTTTGACCTCTGAATGCGACAGGCGGACGCGTCTGATGTCTGCGAATCGACCTCTGTCATTACCAGCCCTGCAGCCCCCATCAGCCCGAGTTAAGTGCAGAAAACCGACAGCACCTCTCAGAATGACTCGAACAATACAATAGTTTCGCGGACCTAGTTCGGGCAGCAGACCGAGTTCCGAGCTCTGGATTCGACAGGCGGACACACCTGCTCTCTTCGAAACGATTCCTGTGAGAACAAGCACTAGCCCCCCTCAGCGCAAGTTTAGTGAAGAAAACCGAGCGACCAATACGAATAATTTCGCGATTCTAGATCGGGCAGCAGACCGAGTTCAGAGCTCTTGATTCGACAGACAAACTCAACTGATGATTCTGAATCGGTTTCTGTACATATCAGCTCTGTAGCTGTCCTACAGCTTGAATTAAGCACAGACAACCGAGAGTTTCTGTCAAGATGACTCGAATAATACGATTAGGTTTGCGGACCTAGCCCGGCTAACAGACCGAGTTCAGACCTCTGGATTCGAAAGCCGAACGTGCCTAATCATTCTACATCGATTAGCTGTCTTGTCAGCTCTTTAGCTATCCTAAAGATCGAGTTATGTTCAGAAAACCGTCACGCGTATCAAGATGACTCGAAACGGCCGATCCCGCCACAGTGCTTTGCGATAATAATATTCACCCGATCGAGCTGAGATCAAGATGGCAAGCGGAATTAAGATCGAATATCACGGGGAAAAGCACTAGAGCCCTTCAAAAAGTTGAAATTTCGAGAACAATTTTCAACTGACCAAAAGTCAGCAAAACTTCCGTCGAAATTTTTCTTGCCAACTAGCTCTCCAGCGCGCCGGAATTACTCTTAAGCTTCCAGCAACTAGCTTAGGGAAGCTCTACGAGTCAGTTGCCTAGACCGTCAACCAGACTGGGAACCGGCGGTAAACCGTCAACCAGGCTACCGCCGGGACCCTCGTAGAGCTCTTTTCGCACACCGCGCTCCTCAGAACACAGGGAGTAAGCTTCTGCAGTGAGAAACGAAAAAATCGAAAAATCACGTTTTTCTGTTTTTATCGAACGTCGGTTGCTCCAAGTGTTTTGATAGAAATACTGCACCTACGGACCTGAAAATTTTACTGGCAGACGCGTCTTAACCCACTACAGGTGCGAAAAATCTCCTTTCTCAAAATGAATTGTCAAATATCTTTCAAATATTCGCAAAACCACCCAAAAGTTATCACTTTGTCCTTTCTCGCCGGGTCGGCCAACTAGCTCCACCCCGCGCCCGAATTCCTCTAGCTCATCGATGACGAAGAGCTCTACGAGGTATTACCGCCGGGGCCCTCGTCGAGCTCTTCTCTTGCACAAGGCTGCTCGGTACACATGCAGGTAGAGTCTGGAAGAAAACCCAAAAGATCTCGAAAAAACGCGTTTTTCTGTTTTTATCCAAAGACGGTTCCGCCAAGTTTGAAAGTAATACTGTACCTACAGACCCGAGAATTCACTGGCAAACGCGGAATGACCCACTGCAGGTGCGAAAAATACCAGATCTCAAAATGAATGTTCAAATCTCTCACGAAGTTCGTCCAACCGTCCCAAAGTTCGCACATTGTCCGTCGGGGCCGGATCGGCCACTTGGTTGCGTCCAAAACCCGGAGAGCAAGGAGGACACACACCCGAAAGCCTTCCTGGCGAGCCCTCGGAAGCTCCCCTGAAGCGCTTCCGGGGCTCTGGGAGGCTCCCCTGGAGCGCTTCTGAAGCGCTGCCAGGAAC